AAACTTAAAAGTTCCAAAATAAAATAAAATAAATCAAACTACGTGGCACACCCCAAGTCATCAAATTTAACATCTAATATCTAATAGCTAAAAGTGGTTGTGACATCCCTGTAATAATAGTAAACAGTCCCATAGCATATAATCCCTAAATGAAACAGTCCCATAGCATATAATCCCAAAATGAACCACTGATAGAGCTAATATTAAAGGGGAAAGTTTATATAGAGTTGAGGCTCTAAACAATCAAATTAGAGCCTACCTAAAAAATTTCACTATAAGATGTTGTTTTGATGCCCAAATATCCCCAAAATTGATCATATCGACATCAAGATGCATGGGCATGAGAAAAAAATGGATTTCAAGTTTTCGAAATAGTGTATTTTGTAACACATTTTTGGATCGTCAATTTTCAAGATTTTCAAATTTTCATATAGCTATCGATCTATACTAGTTTTGAAGCTTTACACTTTATAAATAAAAATAAAAATATATTTTAAGGCTCTCACAAAGATTTTCAGTATTGAAACCACGTTTCTCGACACTATTTGAAGGTAGGCTCTAATTTGATTGTTTAGAGCCTAGGCTCTATACAAACCGCATCCAATATTAAATGGACCTCTTTCTTGTGCAATTTAAAGAGTGATTGTTGAGATGATAAGACAAGCAAATTTCTCTTCTAAGTTAGTGTTTTTCCATGCATTCCACACCCTTTAAATTTTGATCCGTCTATTTGATTGATTAAAGTGTTTGGACATTAATCTCCAATACATGCATAATCTAAAGCCCATTTTGGCAGTCAAACAATTGGACGATTGTGTTATTCATAAACGGGGAAAATGATAGTTTCTTTTTCCTTTTTTAGGACGTTTTAATGGCCTTTTTTACTTATTTTTTATGACAAACAAGGTATAAAAGTTCCACCAACCATGAATATAGGAGCAGATCATATAGAACCTCTTTTCACTCCTTAAAGGGTTTGATAAAGAAAATGGTCCTCTTACAAAATTGATCTATCCAAAAGGAGCCTTAGCATTTATGATGTTTGTCCTAAGTCATCACGGGTGATAATGATTATTCCAAGAGATCATCATCATTATCATCCAAGCCTTTAAGTTGATTATTCTAATTAGTTGGGGTGGACAACATGAATCTTGTTCTTCCATTCTTCTCTACATAACATAAATTTATAAGTCATGATAAAATGTGATAAAGTTTTATACTGGATGCCACCTAACGCAACTCACCTCCTTTTCCGGGGTTATATTAGACTACGAGATAAGAGATGAAAATGGAAATGGCTGATACCTCGTAAGAGTTGAGCATTCTTGTGGGTGGTGAGCCTTGGACAGGTGTTAAGGTCGATCAATTAAAGCAGAGAGGGAGAGTAATGGTGAAATTCGCATGTCATGCAAGAATGACGCAGAAAATGGAGAACATATTTTCCTAACATATCCACTCACTCAACAAATTTGGAGCTAGGTCTAGGTTTGTCCATAAATATTCTAAGAAGAACCTCATACATGAGGAAAATTGATTCATGCGGGCTAGACCGCATTTTTACAATATGCAGTCTGGAGGCATAAAGCATCCATCTTACAGATGGATGCAAGAGGTATAAAGCATCCATCTTTAAGATGGATGCAAATAGGTGGTCCATCTAAAAACAATTATAACTATCGGTCCAAATGTTTTCTTAATATAATTATTATTTTTAGCTTTCATTTTTTTGTTTTTTCATATTCATGATCTCCATGCTAAAGATTATATATTCTCTAAAAATTAGGATCAAATTATATTTAAAAATATATTTATTGCCAAGCTCGCATTTCTACAATATGCGGGCTGGCCTCATAGAAACTGTGTTCCATACATAATGAATTATCCTAATTTCCCAAATCTATCAAAAATTGAGAAAATTATTAGGAAGATAGGGCTACTATTTTTTGGGAGATTCAGAAAGAGAGAAAGACGCTTCAATAGGCGATAAGATAAGGGAAAATCGACATACAATGACTGGCTATGTGAACGTAGACCTTATACAACACTAGTTAAGAGGTGAGACTTGGTTCAAGTTGAAGGCTTTAAAATGACAAGGGGAAGCCTTAAAAGGACATGGATAGACGTAGATATAGAGACTTATGGTCTTACTGAAGGTATGACCCTTGATAAAGTAAAACGGCGTAATAGGATTCCCGTAGACAACCTCAAATACTTGAAATAAAGCTCTAATGATGATGATGATGAGTAGAAGGGTCTTTGAAGATATTTTGTTAAGTGTGGAGAACATTAAAAACAAAATTTAGATAGTTCATTTACTTTAATGGGAGCTAGTAAGGAATGTTCAGGTACATATAAGATGGACCTTCTTGTTAACATGGAAAATGTGGTGCAGATAGGCGCAGTGAAGACGAGTGTTTAGTAGATAGGTTCCTCTAATGTTGGGTACACGCGAATGATTGTGACTTCCTTGTAGGAAGTCCATTACTCGAACTATATTTTGATAGGATGTCACAATCATTCTCCGGGATATGGAAATCTCTACTGCATTCTTACCCTCACTTTCTGTCCAAGATTAGGTACAGGCCTAGGCAGGGCGACAAAACTCTCTTCTGCATCAATACTTGGCTAGAGAACACCCTTAAAGACCTGTACCCTAGACTTTTATTGCTAGCTTGTGACTTAAATGCAACTGTGAAATCCCAATTCCAGCTAATGGGCAATAGAAGGGTGTGGTGCGCCACCCTCAAAAGACCACTCTCGGACCGAGAATTTCAGGGTTTCACAGCCCTCTCCAATACTCTAAATTTTGTCTTCTTGTCCCTCCGGGGCCAAGACAACCTCATTTGGACCCCTAACCACTCGAGTTCCTTCTCAGTGACCTGCTTCTACTCTTCTCTAGCTCATCCCAGAAGCCCCCCTGACTGCCTCACTTCTATCATAAACAAAGTTCGGATCCCTTTGGTACCCTCCAAGATTCAATTTTTCAATTGGATAGCTAGGTCCGAGAGAGCCCTTACAATGGATCAATTACAGAGAAGGGGTTTATAAATCCCAAACAGATGCATCATGTGCACTGAAGATGAGGAGACCAATGCCCACCTCTTCATCCATTGCAAGTTCGCCGCAGCTATTTGGGCTAACATCCTTCAGCTATTCCAATGGCAGTGGGTCACGCCACTTGATGTGCCGCATCTCATCAGCTCTACTTTCTCATCCCCATGGCCTAAGGCCGGTACAATGCTGTGGTAGGCTTCGGTGGCTGCTACTCTTTGGACTATCTGGAATGAGAGAAATGCAAGAATTTTTCGAAGCTAGTCATCTTCTTCAAATGCACTAGTACAAAAGGTAAGAGAAGCTATCATCTTCTGGGCCACCGACCACAAACCCTTGAGAAATCTTTGCCATTCTGATTTCCTACACATCTGGACTCCCATCCTCACCTTCAAACCTCAAAGGCCCCATGCTCTTCCCTGTGGAGACCACCTGAAGTAGGCCACATCAAACTCAACTTTGACCGGTGCTCTCTCGGAAATCTAGGCCTTGCATGCATAGGTGGCTTGTTCCACGACCACAACAGCAATACCTTTTGCTCTTTTTCTATTCCCATTTGTGTCTCTGATTCAACTATTAGGCCTCTGCCCTCTGGGAAAGCCTCAGGATGTTAGATACTAGCTGGGGGCAGTATGTTACCATTGAAGGTGACTCTTACAGTGTTATAGCTTGGGCCTCAAGCACTGCCCCTTGGCCATGGAGGTTGGACAGTATATTCGAAGAAATCTGTCATCTCACAAGGAATCTACACATCTCGTGGAATCACATTTGGAGAGAAGCAAATGATGTGGAATCACATTTGGAGAGAAGCATACGGTGAGGCTAATTCTCTGGCAAAGACAGCCGCTACCTTGTCTAATGCCAACCTAAGACACCTCTAGGGAACCTTAGCTCAATCTACGATCACAAATTGGAATCGATATATTGGCTCGATTCATGTAAAGCTTTTTTGACATACCCATGGTTTTGTATAGGCCATCCGTTTGTGGGTTGCTTATTTTTTGGGTGGAACCCATCTGTGGGTATCCTGCCCCCCTCTTTCATACTTTCTGTACTCCTTTTAAAGTTTAATACAGTTAACAAATTCAAAAAAAAAAAGTATATATATATATATATATATATATATATATATATAG